CTCTTGGTACCTCTGACTGAGGTGCAGAGGAACAGGGGATCAGATTTCAGCTTGTGTAGGAAAGAAGGTTGGGGCATGTGGATTAGTTATCTACTGCTCCCCGACAAACCACTCCAAAGCTTAGGAGCTTGAAACAATAGCCATTTATTTAGCCCGTGATTTTGGCAGGTCAGCAGTTTGGGCTGAGCTTGGCTGATCTCAGCTGGGCTTGCTCATGCGTCTCCAGTCAGGTGGTAGGTCAGCTGGGCTGACTTGTTGATGCTGGCTTTGTCTGGAGTGGCCTCAGTTCCTGGGGCCTCTCTCCATGTGGTCTCTCCTCCTCCAGCAGGCCAGCCCTGGATCTCTCACGGCACGGTTCCAGGGTTCCAAGAGCAGCAAGCAAAATAGCTCTAAAGTGCAAGCATTTTTCAAATCTATGGTTGTGGCAGTTTACTACTGTCCTGTTGGCCAAAGCAAGTCACACAGCCAAGTCCAGAGTCATTGTGGGAGAGGACTCCCCAAAGGCTGGTTACAGAGAGGTGGGCACATTGGGTCCATGACCCAATGGTGTACCCAGGGTGGGAGAGCCTGAGCAGAACAGAGTTGAAATGTACAGAGAAGCGATAGATGACTTGTGTGGATTGGCTTGCAAATCGCGTTACCTACAGCAATGATTCTCATTACGATCTTTGCCAAATACAATAGAGGCATATTAACAACTTATTTAACGCCTATTTAGAGGACACTGAAAATAAATAAATAGAATTATTAAAATTAGGATATGAACATAGCACTTCCAGGAAGAATAAAAATTATTTTCTACCCATTCTAGTTGAGCAATTTAAGTTATGTAAAGTCTTTAAAAACATTTTTTTAGAACAGGCATTTCTTCTGGGATTAGCAAGGCATCTGCTCTTGATAATCAAACTCAATTACTTGCCACCAAATTTTTATTAAGAAATATCAGCTTATTTCACAGACCCAGTGTGTGTGTCTGTGTGTGTGTGTCTGTGTGTGTGTGTGTGTGTGTATGTATATGCTTATGAAACAAATACAGATAAAGAAAATAATGTCTATACTCCTGAAGGATTTCTACCTTTGCTTCATAATTATACCATAAAAATATAATTCTAACAGCCAGCTATATCATTGCCAAGCTTTGGGAGAAACCTCACCTCTGTTCAAGCCCAGCTGACCCTGGGATTATGATTATTTGGGAAGATTTTAAGACACCAAACCCAGCAGAAAACCCATCGTGAATCTATGTTTCTGGCTTCCCCATCTTGCCACATCGGTTTCCTCGTCCCTGTTGGATAAGGACTGCCCACCCTCTCAGAATGGGTCTGTTAGATGAACCAGAAAGTTTTGTAAGTGAAAATTGGGGAAACCAGTGACTTGACAGTTGATACCTCAATTTTTAAAAATTATGTTAAAACTGAAATTTGAGGATTTAGTCACTTCCGGAAAGCTAGATGGCTGTTGTGAGTCCTTTTCCTCCAGTCTAGGGTCTCAGTGATGCCATTTTGTGGCGTGTGATTGGGATTGATAGGCCAGGGTGGAGGATTGGCCTCATAGGGGCAGCAAAAGCGCTTATATGTAGTGATTGGCCATAATTGTTCAGGAGTTGACTAATCCCCAACCCAGGACTCTTCTTCCAGGCTCCGTGTCTGCCCATATCTTCAGAATGGGGACTATTAAGTTCAATAACCTACAACTACAACCTCACAGGTGACTTTCTTGCTTTTACAACCACTTTTGTCACTGTTGCATGAGTGGACACACACACGTACACACACACACACACACACACACACACACACACACACACATGCACACACCAAATCTCTCTCTGTTTTTGACCAGAAGTTTTGAGTTGAGAACTCCATGTAAACATAAGTCTGTAAACTAATGCAAAGAACAAAGCAGAGTTAGGTTTTCTCTACAGAAATCTGCTCATTGACACCTTTCCTTAGAGTGAGAGGAACAGCCAGAAAATTGTTTCAGGATCAAATGAGGGAAAGGGTACGAAAATGCTACAAAAACCGTTAAGTATTTTGTGAATGTAGAATAGGTTACAAAAAGCCTTTCCTTTTCCTTTTTTCTGGACCTAAATGAAAGCCTTTTTGTCCCTATAAAGCCAGTTGGGAGAGTAGGTGTCATGAACCATGAGATTCTGAAAACAGTTCAGGGCCATGTGACTCTCTGTGTGTGTGGATTTGCACACCCAGCACTCAGCAAGCAAATAGCTGTCGGGTAAACAAATAACATGCATTCAGTGAATTAATGCCTTATCTTTGTTATCCCAGAGTACAGTTCTTTGTATTACTGGTTTTCTAGGATGTTAAAAGGTATTATGGTGAAAAAGATTTGTGGCCAAATAAATTTGGGAATGTCGGATTAAATAAAGCCAGATGAGTCTCTCTCTGACAGAACTGATCAGAGCTTTTGATATGCTAATGTGCATTAGGAATCTCCAAAGAAGGAATATGGTAAACATTCCCAAACTTCTACTTTCCTGTGGAACTTTGGTGAGGAACGTCTCACTTGGCTCTAGTGTTCATGGGACGCTCTTGGCAGGTACTGCCTTATCCCATGGATATCCCAACTTTCATTGTTCGTGGCTGTTAGGGTACTAAAGTGTACAGACTGAGAATTCTACATTCCCAGGGGGTGAGGAGGGAGAAGGGAAGAGGAGGCAGAGGAGCATCCGCAAGGATGCACAGCTCCCCCCGGGGAAGTGCTTCCTCAGTCTTCCATTGCAGGGCCCGGATGCCATTATTTTCTAAATGTGGATAATTGATGATAGCAGAACAAGAGGCCTCGGGGAGTCTGCCTCCTGATTGTGTCCCACAGAGGGGAGGCAGTGGGTCTTTCTGCTCAGTCTACCCACAGGCTGGCACAATCTGAGGCCCAAGCAAACCCCAGCAGAGGCTGTCAAGAGCTTGTTCTCCCACAGAGTTCGAGAAGGTCAGAGTCCTGTCAGAGGAAGGGAAAGAAGGCCTGTGACTTGCCCAGTGTGAAGGGCTGCCTCATCTGGGGTCCTTGTAGGGACAGCAAAGGGAAGGTGTTCTGGGGTGTGGGTGGAGGGGAACCTTGGCTCCCAGGGTTCATTTGCCACTTCCCAACTCTGCCCTGGACGGCATACTTCACCTCTGTGAGCTTCACATTCCTCACTTGCTACACAAGGCTGGCCGTCACTAAATCAGTGGGTCGTTGGAGTGAGTCATTATCAGTTTCGAGGACACTCAGCACAGTCCTTGGCATGTAGTAGGTACCCCTGATGGGGTCATGGAGTGGTGTCTTCGCATCTCTGCATACCTGTATACCTGGCACAATGCCTGGCACAGAGTTGGTGCACAAAAAGTACTTTCTGAATGAACAAATGGCTCTAATTGGTTGTCTCAAAATGTAAGTGGTTACTAGTTGCCACAGTTAAAGAGTGCGTGCGCGTGCGTGTCTGTGCATGTGTGAGAGATTGACAGAGTGAAGTTCCCAGTGGGGGGGGCGACTTAACCTTGGTTGTCAGGGTATATGTGGTGTAAAGAGAATAGCCAAAGAGAACCGTGTTGCATGCATGTCCCTTAAGGTGCCCGTGTGATTCAAACCCTCTGCAACACTATCCAGAGTGCCGTGTGTTGAAAATAGGGCAAGCTACACAAATACCATCGCCACTGTTTCCATAGTCACGGGCTAATGGAACAGAGACGGGCGCTCTCTATGGAGCCGAGCACCGGAAGGTGCGCTTCAGAACAGCCGGCTGCTTAACCCGTACTGGAGTATGGGTGGGTTTTGTTGTTTTTTTGTTTTTTTTTTTTCTTTTCCTGTATCATTTCCTCTTTGTCGATAAAACTGGAATGAAGGGCTACAGCCATAAACTGTGCAAATAAAATAACCTTGAGAGGCGGCTGCTGTAGTCGAAACTTATCTCCCCTGTTGCTATGGTTACCTCCAGCAGGTCGCCCAGTGAGAATGGCTCTGTCATCAGCAACGAATCAGGGAAGCCCAGCTCAGGGAGACGCTCACCCCAGAATGTAATGGCACAGCAGAAAGTGACAAAGGAGGAGGCAAGGAAGAGAAATGGTGAGAAGCCTTCCCGCCAAGAACCACCCTCAGCCCCGCCCACGCGCGCCCGCGCTCACATCGTGCACACGCGTGCGCACACTCGCTCGGCGGTCTCGGGCCCTCAGTCCTTCCCTCTGTCCTGCCCCGCGGGTCTGCTGTGTAGCCCTGGGGTTATCCCCTTACCCCCTTCTCTGAATTGCTCTGTCCCACCTCCTCCACCCCCTGTTCTTATGGAATTGTGCGGTTCCTTAGGAAAAACCCTTTGCAAAACGAATTGATGTTTGCTCAGAGATTTTCCCGATTCCTGGGCGAATCAATGTGATTTCTAGCACCAGGTCTACTCAGGTGGCAGGTCTCTGAAATACTGGTCATCTTGGAGATTTCCTTGATTTTCTTGCCCTGACTCCCCTGATGAGTTTCAAAGGTTCAGTCTATACCACTGAGTCCAGACTTGCAAATCTACCTCTTTCAGAAAAAAGAAAGAAAACAGATCTGCCATAAAAAAGAAGAAAATCAACCTTATGCTTCTGTCTTTGTTCTTCAGGGAGACTTAACTATTTAGTTTCTTTCTCACACAGATGTTTTCCCTTCCTACAAGGACTGGTGTTGAGATTTCTTTGTAAGTGATGATGCAGTGGCGTCATCTGTAGATGCAACTGTCAACGTCCTTGTGCACCTTCCCTCTGCTCACCCTCCTTTGCTCCAACCCTCATCTCCACTGGATCCTTCTGTGTGTGATGCTGGCTTACTGCTGATTTTCAGATCAGGGAAAATTCCTTTTGGATTTTAAAAGGTTTGTGGGTGGAGCCTTCCAGAAATGCCCGGTGAAAAGCTAAACACTCCGGCACTCTGCTTAGCTGTGCTTCCCTTTTAAAGGCATTGGTGTACTTCAGACGCTCTCTCTTGAAGCCAGTGCCAGAATATTTTTGTGTTTTCAAATGTCACTTACTTACTTTTTTCTGACTGAAAAAAGAAAGAGAAGGGGAAAGAAAGAAATAATGACACAATAGGTTTGTATTTTGCGGGGAAGATGTGGTCCCTGTTCCCATTTCCAGCTATTATATAAAACACTTATTTAAACTGTCATACCTATTTGGTTCTTGAATGTTTTCTTCCCTTGAATTCTGCATGCCCTGTGTCACGGGGACTGTGCTTTCCACGTCAGAATTAGGGTGTGACCTGTGGGATTTTCCTGGAATATCTGCCCTGCCTGGGACTACCAGAAATCCTGCCATCAGTTCCCTGCCAAGCAAACACACGAAGAGTCCGAGTTGCCCTAGAACTTGGGAAGGGGACTTGAATTCAGCAATTTTCTTCTTTCTTCCCAAGGCGAGGTGCTAAGAGAGATGGGTAGAGGGCGCGAGGTGACAGCAGAGGCGACAGAGAGTGAAGCCAGGTGGTTTTAACTAAGTACTGCAGTGGGCATTGCCACCTGCCAAGATGGCACCACTCACCCTCCCAGCCCTGCCTCCACCCTTCCCTCTCCTGCCCTCTCTCCTTTCCTTCCTCCCTTTATATACTTCCTGGAAATGTATAAAGTCAAGTCAAAGACCACCCACTCCCCCAGATGCGCCAACTCACCCACCCCAGTCCTCAAAGGATCCTGAACAACTCAGTGTGTCTTTCTCTGACCTTTTTACTATGCGTGTGGCAACACGTGTCTTTGTTTTATAATCAATGTGCACATTGTTCTGTGCTCTTTTGCTCACTGAAAAATGTGCAATATATAAACTCCTCTGTCAGTCTGTACACATTTAACAAAGTGGTGACTTTCCGCCTCCCCTGTATTTAATCTGTGGAAGAAGAGCGAGCAAGGCCGGTTCCTGACCCCATCTCTCTCCCCAACCACCGGCTGGTGAAACTCTGGCCTGCTCTAAATGTCCTTGGCTGGTCCTGTTTGTCTGTTCTCTGCCTGCCTCCTTATTCTGTTTAGATCACTTTGATTATTTAAATATCAGCTTCAGAAACACCAGATAGAGACATGAATAAAATGCAACCACTGTACCAGGTTGAGGTTTTTACTTGTTTGTTTTATTAAGAAGCCATCCTTCCCAGATTTTGAGTGCTCATTTGGTTGTACCTGATTCTTGCGAAAAGTAAACCATTGAATTTTCAGGGTTGGTCACTTCTGTTTCACCACAGGTTTCTACTCAGTGAGGTTTGGGTTTTAAATTTTCCAATAGAAAGGATAAGGCCAACTTGTTTTGTGTAGAACTCAACAGACCCAAAAGCACATCAGAATTCTAGGGCGGAGCTTCATTGAAACCTACACTTGTCTTTTTTTTTTTTTAAGAGACAGGATTTTGCTCTGTCGGCTGGCTAGAGTGCAGTGGTGCAATCATAGCTCACTGCAGCCTGGAATTCCTGGGCTCAAGTGATCTTCCCACCTCAGCCTCCCAAGTAGCTAGGACTATAGGTGCATGCCACCATGCCTGGTTAATTTATTAATTTTTTTTGTAGAGAAGGTGTCTTACTATGTTGCCCAGGCTGTTCTCAAACTCCTGGCCTCAAGCAATACTGCTGCCTGCACCTCCCAAAGTGCTGGAATTACAGATGCAAGCCACCACACCCGATGCTTGTCCTTTTTTATCAGAGGGCTCCATTTTGTCATAATACTAGATTAGAGTTAACCAGTGAAACCAATAGTGAATTTTATTGGTTTGGAAAATGAACCAAAGGAAGGAAGGAGGGAAGAAAATAACATTGCATAGAATTATGGAGAAAACAAAAAGATGTATTTTCATCACCTCGCCAGCGTTCCAAAAGTATTGAGCACTTTTTGTGTGAGCATGGCCTGTGAAAATAGATTATTTTGTTGGTATAGAATATTCAAATACTGTTGTCTTATGGCTTAGTATCTATTTCTCATAGAGGCAGGGTTGCTAAGGTTAATTAATAAATACTAATGTACTGGGCTGTTATTCTAAAACCGTTCTTGTTTTCCACCAAGTTCGTTGCATCTGTAGCTTCTAATATTCCCATTTTGTGAAAATAAGAAATTTAAAAGGAAAGTCCTTCTAGTATCATGTAGTATCATGGCTGGCATGGGTCCTTGTAGCTAAACAGCCTCATTAGTTATCATAGCTGCAAGGCAGTTGTAGAGTCTGTTTCACGGTGATGCTTAGACATAAATGAGAAAGTTAGATGTGAGAGCTAGGATTTTGAAAGGAAAAACAACTTGATGCTTTCTCAGCCAAATATAGACATTTGAATTTCTGAGCCAAACCAGTGTCACCTTAGAAAATATGTTTTCTGGGAAGAAGTTAAAAGTAAGTCCAAGAGTAAACAGGACATAATACCTGTCTTCACATGTTGAGTCATTTAGGAGCAAACAACATCCCTAAGCCCTTTGGTCCTCCTTCCTTTATGACACTGAAAGAGTTCACTGTTAGGCTCAGAATCTATCAGACTTTGCCTCCTAATGGTCATGAGGCAGGTGATGCAGGAGGAGGACAAGCATCAGAGACTTCAGAGGATAAATTACTACTTTCTTAGCAGGGTCTTGGGGGAGAGGTCTGGGATTAAGACATAAAGGAAGATTTGTCAGAGATATTAGCTCAAAAGCACAGTTTCAGTTTTTCTTCTTTCTTTGCCTTCCAATGAAATGCAGACTTGTTTTTTATCTACTAAATAACAACATCGGGTAGTGATGCCAGTTGTAGACTATTTGTCTTTGATGAAATTTTCAGAAAGCGCATGTGTTGTTTAAGAGCATTTTCCATCTCATCGGCATGGTGTCTCCCCATGCCGATTCAGACATGAAGAAATGAAATCTCTTTTTCCAGCCCGACTTACTGAAATTAAAACCAGCAATGCAAAGAAGGCAGAACTAGATACGAGACAGGTGTTTAGTGGCATTGACTGTGATGTGGTGGTATTCTAGGTCACTTCCTCAGTTTAACTGTGGCACCCAGTCCTTGACCACTCTCCCATGCTTTTTTCTTTAGGGACTAATCATGCATTAAAAATCCCCATGAACCTGCTGTGTTCACACAACATTTTAATGCATCAATGTTTAATGTAATGCCATTTAGTGCATTTTTCCATAAAGTCGTTTTTGAAGGGAGGATAACTAATTGTTTTTCTCTTAAGAATTCCTAGAGGAATTGTCATGCAAAGCTGAATATGACTTTTTTAAAAGCAAAGATGAAAAATAACCCTAGCTTGTACAATGTCTGGGATGTCATTTCCCCGTCCCATTATAGCTATGCTGCCCACCTTACCCTGTCCATGGGTGGGAGGTGAGGTTGTCACAGCCCCGAAGCAATAAAAATGCTAAGCACCGTCTCTTCACCCTCTGGAGGGTTTAGTGATAGCGTGCCTTTAACTTCCACGTGGTTACCTGTTCTGCAGGAACTAACAACATCCCCTTTTCCCAGTCAGGAAAGTTGAGTTGTTCATTGCTTCACTTGTTTATTCAACAGATCCCTATGGAAGGCAGACTTGCGTAGCCACTATTAAAGGCAATAAGCATCAAGCTTTCGAAAGATGGACAGGCCTGGGGCTTCTATTCTAGTGGCAGGGGTGAGGGCAGGCTGTAAGTCAATACAACAAATCAGGAGTAATAAGTGCTGTGAAGAAAATGTAACAGGGTGATGAGGGGGTTGTTTTAGATTGATGGTTAGGGGAAGTCATTTTCAAGCTGGAACTTGAAAAATAAGAAAGAACTAGATGTGGAAAGATCTGGGGGAAGAGCATTTTGAACACAGGGAACAGCTAATGCGAAACTCCTGCGGTGGGCACTAGTCTGATGTGCCCAAGAAGGCCACTGTGGCTGGAGTGGAGTGGACCAGGGGATAGGGAGGAAGTGAGCTCCGTGAGGTGGCCAGTGCCAGATCGGACAGGACGTTGGGGGTAAGATTGTGGTGTTATTCTGAGAGATGCAGCCTTCAGAGGGTTCTGATCAAAGGAGGAATGTGGTCTCGTTGCCTTGTAGAAAGGTAATTCATCCTGGCTTCTGGTGGAATATGTAGTTTGGGGGGGGGGGGACGAGAGGGAAGCCCAGAGGTAGCAGGTTTTTCAGGAGAGCTATAAGTTATTTATTGCCATGTAACATATCACCCCAGCACCTAGCAACCTACAATGACAATCTACATTTATCATCTTGTGTAAGGTTTGGGGGTCAGGAATTTAGAAGTGGCTTAGCTTGGTGATTCTTGCTTGGGGTCCCTCATGAGGTCACAGTCAAGATGTTGGCCTGGGCTGTAGTCGTCCAGACTCTTGACTGGGCCTTATAAGATAGTCACTTGTGTGGCTGTTGGCAGGAAGCCTCCAAGGTCCTTGCCACATGGACCTTTCCATAGGGCTGCTTGAATGTGTCCACGTAACATGGCAGCTGGCTTTTTCTGGAGTAAGTGATCCGAGAGAGACCAAGGTGGAAGCCACAAGGATTTTTTAACACCAAGCACACTGTCATTTCTGTAATTTCCTGTTGGTTGCACAGATTCATACCTATGCATTGTAGGTATGAATATTGGGAGGTGAGGATTATTGAGAGCCAGCACGGAGGCTGGCTACCATAGATGGCTTTTACGGCAGTTGTCCAGGCAGGAGATAAGGGTGGCCAGACAAGAGCTGCCCATCAAAACTACACTCTAAAAATATGTATGTATCTGGTAACACATCTAAATAGAGATTTTCCTCTGTCATTGGCTGCTTGGTGGCCTGCTATTTGCAAATTAGCCCACAGAACTAAAAAAAAATGTTCCAATTATAGCCCATTGTTAGACTCCGAAGTGTTTTAGCCACATTGTAAAATAACAGTTTACTTGGCTTAATTTGACGAATCTTCTGTGATTATGATAAGTGCTGACAGAATGATACAAACTGTGTGTTTCTCAATAATTTATATAATATCCCAATCTCTTTAGCAGACAGGTGGAAAGATGAATACACTTCTATTGCATTCATGTTTTATATAATACTTGTTTTGCTCCTAAATTGTCTACTGGTTTAGTTGTGTGAACAGACTTAATTTATCTCTTGCTGAGCCGCGCTCAATAAGCTGTCATTCTTGTAGTTACTTAACGGGAATATGCTTTAAGAACAAGTAAATCAGCAAGTTACCGTGGGCCCTGGAACTTCTTCTGTCAGCTTAGTTATGAAAACTCAAGGCAGACTTGTGTCTTTTAACAGTTGTAACAGAGTTATCTGTCAGGGGGAATTCATTCAACAGAGCGTAGGTGGAAATCACCCTATTTAATTAGGGAAGGTGTCTGTAGCTTTAAATTAGTTGCTCTGGTGGTAATTTCATAGCTTGCTTTTGTTTTAGACAGATGAAAGAAACCAAAACCCAAATCACTAGAGAAGCTGCCTTTAGAAAGAAAAAAAAGAAGTGTCAGCTTCTAGTCACATGACTGTGACTAGTTGACCAAGGAAGACCCGTTACCTTAACATCTTGTAAAAATTGGTAGCTTTGGTGACAGAGACTAAAATAAATACTGTTATTCTGATGATTGTGAGATTTTAAAAGTAGTTACAAGATTTGGCCAAATTCACTTTTCTCATTTCCAACTCCAACATAGAGAAAAAAGTTACTTTTTAAATTTTTTAAAAATATGTTTTGTCATTGTTTTGAAAGAATGGTTTTTACTGTTTGATTCAAACCTTTCAAATTCTTTCCTACCCATTGATACGGCAATGGAGGAATAAATAGTTTAAAATCTTAAATTTAAAGGAAAGCCACGAGCGGCAGCGAGCCCTTGGCACAGAGCCAGGCGCTGTGGTTTCTGAGTCATTTTGAGTAAAGTGATGTCCCTAGGCTGCGAGCCTCGCATAAATCCTCCCGTGGTCATGCAGCTCCCCTACGTCACAAAATCAATGTGTTTATGTTGTGTTTTAGTGCCAGCGAGTGATGAAGAGGAAGGAGCAGTTCTTTTTGACAGCTCTGGCAAGGCGGCTGCTGAGCCCTTCGACACGTCTTCTGGGTCCGTGCAGGTGATCGCCATAAAACCCACAGCCCTGTCCGTGGTGCCCCCCTCCTCGGACAGGAACCAGGAGTCGTCGGTTGTCCTCAACGGCGAGGTGAGCACCCGGGGACCCAGAGCTGGAGAGGATCCAGCCAGCGCTCAGGGAACTGGGACTCCAGATGCTGGGTGATGTGTCCTGTCACCTAGGGCTGTCTAGGCCATTTTTACCTCTGCATGTGCCAGGCCTCCACGGAATAAATCAGGACACAAGTCGCCCAAAATGAATTTGTGGGGTGATGTTTTCGGAGTATTTTTTTACCTTTATTAGAAAGCCCAGAGAGAACTTTTTAAAAACTGTGGTTACAAAGAGAAACATCAGAAGATCAGAAGAGAACATCAGAAGAGAAACATCTTTGCCTACTCCCCCAACCCCTCACACACACAAGCTAATGCCTTTCTTGATAATGCTCCTAAACTGTTCATTATGGGATGTTGGTTGCAGTGGAGATGGGAGGGGCTTGAATTGAGAGGGAAGCGGAGAAGATATTGTCATATGGAAAGGGATGTGGCCCACTATATAGGCTTTGAGATGACATTTATTCCTTTGAGCAAGCTTGAAACAACCCATTGGCTGCTTCCAGGAGGGTATCAATGGATATCATGATGTCAACCCACTTTTCTAAGAGTCCGAAAAAAACTTGTAACATTCACCAGAGAGTGGTGATTTCATCAAAGAAGATTAGATAGATAGATGGATAATAGGAGATAGATGGATGATTTTTAGGCAGACAGATAGAGGCAGTTTAGAAGGTGAGCAGGAAGTCAGGTAAAGGCTGGGCAGGGTGGCTCATGCCTGTAATCCTAGCACTCTGGGAGGCCAAGGTGGGAGCATCACTTGAGGTCAGGAGTTCAAAACCAACCTGAGCAAAAGGCAGACCCAGTCTCTACTAAAAATAGAAAAAACTAGCTGAGTGTGGTGGCATGTGCTTATAGTCCCAGCTACCTGGGAGTCTGAGGTGGGAGCATCCCTTGAGCCCAGGAGTTTGAGGTTGCAGTGAGCTATCATGACACCACTGCACTCTAGCTGGGGCGACAGAGAAAGACTCCATCGGAAAAAAAAAAAGTCAGGTAAAAATTATCTGCCTTTCCTCCATCCTCTACAGCAGAATGGCTAATGGGTTGAAAATGTTTATGAGCCTTTCAGAAGATGCATATGGAACCTGCGTGTGAACATTTACATTACACCTGTGCCCAAGTGCGTGCATATACACACACTCTCTCTCTTATGTTTTTCTCTGTTGCTAAGCTGTCAGGCTGCTTGTCCATTTCATTTTTTATACCCTGCTATTGTCACCTGCAACGAGTAGGAGATTTCCAAAGTTCTAAAGTCTTTCCCACCACACCTGAAGGAACATGCCACAGCGCTGTACAACTGCGTGTTGTCAATGCACAGCAGAGACTTGTCCTCATTCCACCACGTGGGCCACTCATAAAAGCATCTACAAGCCCGATTCAGGAAGCTCCTCGTTTTCTGGGCAGAAAGATTTAGCTGGCCTAAAGATGTGATGGGTTAAAGTTTATCAACTTTAAAAAATTAACTGGTCGTAAACTTACAGAGCAGTTCTGTTCTAGTCTCTTCATGTTTTAGACCAAGAAACTGAAGTCCGAGGAGTCAAGTGGCTTGCTCAAAGTCACGCTGCAGGTTATCATGACGGCCATGAGGTTCAGGTTTCCTGGCTCCCCAACCAGTGCTCCTTCCCTCTCTTTGACTTACTAAAGCCCATCTGTGAAAAATAGCATTCTGCTTAAAAGAGTATGAACTCTCAAGCCACACTGCAAGGGTTTGAATCTCACCTCTTCTTCTAACTATCTGTGTGACCTTAAGCAGGTTAATTAATTTCTCTGTGCCTCAGTATTTCCATCCATAAAATGGGACTTCTATGAGGGTCAAATTGGTTAATATATGTAAAGCACTTAGAATAGTGCCTAGCAGACAATAAGAGCTTTATTATTAGTAATAATTGCTGCAATTACGTAGTCAATGAGGAAAGATTAATTGATCATGTACTTCATGAAAATCTAGATGTCTTCTCAAAACCATTCGAAGCTACTGAATCTTTCTGGGGGAAGAATTCTGCCAACAGACACATAAGCCCAGTGATTAGAGGCCTCTGAGGTTAACACTAATATACACTGATAACAGCTCTTGATTAGGACGCGCTGCCCAGTTATGGACCCATGTAATGGCCGCCATGCCTGGATCTTGCCATCCCAGCTTAGTGACATGAATGTCATAGCGACAGATTCCAAATCTGGGGTACATTCAACTTACCACTCCCTTTCCTCCCAGGCCCATCACCCTGTCACAGGAGATCAAATGAGCATTTTTCTTGTCCAGAAATGGAAACTTGCTACATTTTGGTAGTTAAAGGAATGGACCTTGCTGGCATTTGGATTGGGAGAGAGCCCTGAACTGTTCTCTGTAATTTGCTGCCTTGTAGAGCTTGATGCAGATTGTTTTATAATTTTTTCCCTTCTTCTCTTATGTGTGGCTGGTTTAAATGAAGAAAGCCTAACTCCAAAGCCATTAATTTTCCTTTTATGAATTACAGGAGATTCTTTCAAAAACTATTTTTAAGACAACACAGTAACAACACAGAAAGTTCAAAAATTTGGGTGTAACAGCCTCATCATTTGTTATTTATTTATTGTTTGTGACCCACTGTTTTGGGCTGGTCTTGGAATGGGACACAGGTGGGTCTGGCTGGCTCGAAAGACCAGAGGTGACTCCTAGGGTAGATTTTCCAGGAATTATGACCTTCTGGTGAAACTCTCCCACCTGTCAGTTGTGCTGGGTCAGACGTGGGCCTGAGACTGTCTCTCTCCCCAGGTGAACAAAGCCCTGAAGCAGAAGTCAGACATTGAGCACTATCGGAACAAGCTGCGCCTCAAAGCCAAGAGGAAAGGATATTATGACTTCCCCCCAGTGGAGACAAGCAAGGGTCTTACCGAAAGAAAAAAGATGTATGAAAAAGCCCAAAAGGAAATCGAGCATGTTTTGGATCCAGACACAGAACTGTGTGCTCCATTCGCCGAGTCTAAAAACAGGTGCAATCTCTAAGGGATTCTGCAAGGGTTGCTGTTTCATTGGTGGGATGCGGGCAGAGGATGCCTCAGGCAGTATATTCCTGGTCCCTTGATCTGACACCTTAGCACTGTGCTCTTAGCAAGCTGCTGATATGGACCCTGCTGCTCTGTGCTAGCAGGTGCCCCATCCTGAGTCTGGAGGAGAATAAAATTGAAGCCATTAAAAAAATCCTTGGGCAAACAGCCATAATTGTCCCTCAGCTTAATGATATTTTCAAACCAGTAGCTTTTTCAGAGCTGGATGAAGATGTAGTTATCACCTACCTAGTTATGCAACTTCCAGATCAAAGGGCATTGTATTTTTCAATTCTTTTAGAGGCCCTTGCATAAAAAAAGCAAATTTCATGCCTCACCTTTTCATTCAGCCTCAGTCAGCACATACCACGCGGCTACTCAGAGCTCCATGCTTGTTCATCTTGTTCAGTCATATATTTGTTCATTTATTTGACATGCATTGCCACCTGCTGTGTATTAGGCACCATTCAAGATACTGATACTGTCATGGTCACGTGTGCTTTTTCTCACTCATTCATTCAATTCCAATTCCTTCAGCAGTTGATGATGGGTAAAACAGCTTGGTCGCTGCTTTTGCGGAACTTAAGGACTGATGGAAGAGAAAGATAATAACAATAATCACCAAAAGTTTATTGATCACAAGTAGGATGGGTGTTTGAAGTGTCAGGTGCTGTAATGGTCGAAAAGGGGGGCCTGGCCTAGCAAGGAAGGGCTAGACCAGGTGGTTGCAATTGGCTTCTGTCCCAGTTCATTTTGCACTGCTATAACAGAACGCCTGAGACTGGGTAATCTGTAATGAAGAGAAATTTATCTTCTCGCAGTTCTGGAGGCTGGGAAGTCCAAGATCAAGGCAGAAGCATCTGGTGAGGGTCTTCTTGCTGCATCACCACATGGCAGAAGGTGAAGGGCAAAGAGAGAGCAAGAGGGGCCCAAATTCACTTTTTATAACTCACCAATCCCACCCATGAGGGTGGATCTTTCATGGCCCTATCACCTCCCAAACGTCCCATCTCCCAGCACCGCTAAAGCAGCAACCACATGTCAACATGAGTTTTGGAGGGGAAAAGCATTCAAACTATAGCAGCATCTTTCCAAGCTCTGTCGCTAATGAAGCAGAGTGAGCTCACATACTGGGAAAAAAGGGTACAGGTTAGCAAAGGCAAATATGTCCACCTTTCTTCTTTTCCTACCTGCCCGAAGCATTTTCATGATTTGAAGCCACTCCCTCTGGCTTTGAGTATACCACCACTCCGATCCACCACAGAACCGCAGCTGATGCATCCTCCACAGGCTGGGAGCGGTGGGTCAGTTCCCGGCCTGAGTTGGTATTTATTAAAAGCCAAAATGACTCTGAGACAGGCTTGGACTGAAGACACAAAATAAAGCTGGGAGGCGGGGCTAAATTTTATGAATTAGATCAACATAATTTTTTTTTCAATAAAGAAAAGAGGGATTTCTGAACCAGTGCTTAATTTACCATGCTTTTAATTCGACTTGGTTGGTATGACAAGCTATTGATATAAAATCACACCGTGACAGGGTTCACGATGAATGTGTGTCACTGTGTTAATAACTGTCGAAAAAATGAGAAGAAAAGACATGGGTTTTCTAGGGAGGCTGGTGGTTTCTTCAGCTTTGGCTTTTTACTTTGCGACTTTCTACTTCAGTGGTCTTTTATAGCCTGGAGTGGGAGCTGTCTTTCCTGGGTTTCCTGCTGACACTTAAAGAAAATGAATCAAAAATAGATTGTGTACAAATAAAGGGAACTTAGCTAGGAAGTTACTTGAGAAACAAAAATTTCAAGTCAGGCTTTTTATGAAAAGAGAATGAACAACACTTGTGTCTGCAGAGTTTCATCTGTACTGCCTAGAATAGGTTCAGGCCAGATTCTTAGGGCCTTTGGATGGCCTGCGGATGCTGAGCCTATCTAGTCAATTCTTAGTAAATATCTACTGAAGAAATGATTTAATGACTGTAAAGCACCAAATCTTTTTTTTTTTTTAGTTTTGATCAGTTAAAGGGAAAAGATGGGTAGCCACAAACTAGGTGAGCCGGGAATAGGAATGAAGATAGGGTCAGCAAGAGATAGGGCTAGGACAGGAAAGACTAAGAGAAAAAGAAGAGAGAGTGACAATATCAGTAAGAAGCTCAGAGGTGTTATTCTTGACACTTTCTGCTGTTGACTCAGGAGGCTGCTACTGTTTATCTCTTATCACAGCCCAGAGTTAGCCGTTAACTGCTGTTCAAAGTACGCCTCTCCAGAGCTTGTGCTCTCAGTGACCAAACCCCACAGCCTCACTCTCTCGTCCAGAGGTGGCATCCGTAACCAGCGTTTTCTCCTAAGACCTAAATTACATCAGATAAAAGACAAAGTTTAGATTCCAAAGGTTGACTCACCACTAAGTCTTTTAAAAGAGTTTCCACAGCTCTTTTTTTATTTTAATCAGAAGAATGCCCCATTTTTAAGTTACAAACTCTTACCCAGAGGCCCGAAGTCCGTATATAACTGAGGCAGATGCTGTCTGTAGGCTCGAGTCTAAGCCCGGGGCTCTCACCGCGCCTGTGCAGGATGTGAGGACTTCTGTCCGCAGCCACCGACCGGGAGTCGGGTAGTCAGGGCGCTGTGGGGCATCCTAAGTCCGTGGCAGATGGGAATTGGTGGATAAAGTCCCCTGGCGGGTGAGCTCGAGGTGTCAGTTACACTGTTGTAATAACTACATTTTTCTAGTTTTTTTATTTGGTGATTTGACATCTGGGGCCTTGCCGACCCCAGGGTAACAGCCCCTCCCAGGGCGACCCAATGACAGTAAACTGCAGACACACCTTTTGTGTGCAAAGCAACAATGCCCAGCCACACCCCCACTGCTTTCTTCACACAGTCTCGCAGGGCTCTCACTGCTGCGCTGGTATCATCCCCCTGCCCTGATCACCCAGGCCCGGTACCAGACAGCTAAGGACAGCCCCTGTGCCCCAGGAGTCTGCCAGAATTATTCAAACTAGCCGATCCTAAGCCTGCTTGCTGTCGCCTCCCACAGAAACCACAATAAAGGCTCTTGCCATGTTTTCTCCTCACTCCCTCTGCCTCCCGATCGACCGTGTTGCTTGCCTGTGGGGCCCCACTGTGGCGTGGCAGGTCCCCTCCTCTTGGGATTTGCGAGTGTTACAAGCTGTCTCGTTAATGGCAGTCATCCCCTGGGCTGTTGGCCTTGCCATATGTGAATAATAATAAAACCTACATTTTAAAACAACTCTCTCCGACACTTCTCCAGTGGGTGTGAGCCCCAGTTTCCCAGAACACTCATCTACTCCATATCCTACCTTTATTGATTTCCTTCCTTTGCCTCTCTCTTTCCCCCACTGGTGCTGGTGCTTTCCAGAACCATCTCCCAAATAAACCGCTTACACTCAAATCATCATAGAGCCTGCTTCTGGGGAACCCAACCTAAGGCAGTAACATACAAAGGCACAGTGGCTCCAACAGAAGCTGGACGGCTGCCTCCTTCCTGGTGGCTCCAGGCCATCTCTATGGAACCCCAGGGTTCCGTAGAACATAATTTGAGAACTACTTTCTTAAACTATACTGGAATTAACAAGCGCCTAAGAAATTCAAGTAAAACTCATCATTATCCACTCAACAGTATTTTCAAAGGTTAAAAACTACTTCTCAAGTTTGCATGTTTCAAAATGTATTCACTTTTTAAAAAATATAGCAAAATACGGACGAGAAATGAATATACCTCGTGCAACTCTGTTTTTTTAAAATAAGTAATTTCTCTTGGCCGGGCACGGTGGCTCACGCCTGTAATCCTAGCACTCTGGGAGGCCGAGGTGGGCGGATTGTTTGAGCTCAGGAGTTCAAGACCAGCCTGAGCAAGAGCGAGACCCCATCTCTACTAAAAATGGAAAGAAATTAATCGGACAACTAAAAATACATAGAAAAAATTAGCCGGGCACTGTAGCGCATGCCTGTAGTCCCAGCTACTCGGGAGGCTGAGGCAGAAGGATCGTTTGAGCCCAGGAGTTTGAGGTTGCTGTGAGCTAGGCTGACGCCATGGCACTTTAGCCTGGGCAACACAGTGAGACTCTGTCTCAAAAAAAATAAATAAATAAATAAGTAATTTCTCTACCTGAGAGGCTAATTTATTTCTAAGTAGATGCTCACACACCTGGCACACATGAGTGGTCTGGTCAGTTGAGATCCATGCTGAATAGTAACCTTTAACCTGTGTGTCATAATGGAGCACTGTCTCTGAGGAAAAGGAGACTGGTGTATGCTCCAGTGTCTAAGCTCTCACCCATGTTCCTGGTTCTTGAAAGGGCTTACCCAGTCTCACTACTGTATTTCTGATACAAAATAACCTACTAAATGTCAATTGCTAATCCTAGTGTTTACTCCACCACCACCCTTATTAGTAAATCTTTCTAAATGGGCTAATTGGCAATCTCAGGACAGTTGTGAAGTTTGCTTTTTCAAAAAATGATTTGTAATTAGGTCATGGTTGTGAATTCTTTGGGGTCTGCCTTAAAGTATGAATCACTCTAAATAGATCCTGTCTCACAAACTGGCTGAGGTTGTGCTCCTTTCCTAAAGGAAGCTTCTAATTGCAGATAAGTACAGAGCACAGTTTATAATATTAGGTTGTAAGCTCCTATATTAGAATTAATCAGGATTCTTTGGGTTGCAAATGATAGAAATCTAGCACAAACTGGTTAAATAAAAGGGGAATGTATTATTGAGCATTATTGAAAGGTCAAGACTTCCGCGTGGCTGGATCCAGGGGGTCATACAATGCTTCCTATATTAGATCTCTCCTCACTCTTTGCTGGCCCCATTTTTAGGCAGGCTCATACCTCATGGTGGCAAAGTGGCTGCCAGCAACTCCAGGCTTATATCCCATCTTTGAGAAACCTCAATGCCAAGAAAATGCCTCTTTCCTAGTTGCCATGGCAAAAGCCCTGAGACATGGTCTCATTGGACCGACTCAGCTCATGTGACAAATCACTGCGGCCATGGGAATACAATGCTGGGATTGGCCCAGCCTGAGTCACATGCTTACCTCTAGAGAAAAGTAGCCCCCGAGGACTATCATGATGCTCTCACCAAAAGAAAGTTATCATGGGTACCAGGCAAGCAAAGATGACAGATACTCTCTAAACAGGTATAAGCTCCTCACGGTGAGTGAGGAGAATGAACGTTGTCTGTTTTATTCCCAAGACTAATTGTCTGTTCTAGACTGTGTGTGACTGTAATGCCATGACTAACATATTGTGTGTTCATGAGAAAGTATGTATGCCTGCCAGGTTTCTGGCTTCCGAACACATAGTTACCGGCAATAAATATTAATAATGCAGCCTCTTCACCCTCAGCCTGTGAATAGCTAGAATGTTAAAATTGAGACGTAAAATAGGTGGTGTACGGGGAGTACTCTGAGTATAGTTGGTCTGGGAATTCAAATTATTTACAGAGGCTTATTGCCGGATGAAAGGGAAATATTACCCCTTTGTCATTCTGCAGGATCCTATGGAAGTCACCTGTCCCCACTGGGCCTCACTCCTACTGGTAAAAATTGCCTCTTGTGGAAGAAAAAGAGCATAGCCACAATCCTCACCATGTTGCTGCTTCTTTCCCACTCTTCCAGAAGATTCCTCTAATGACAAGTGAAAACAAGACAGGGGGGACACATGTATGAATCTTCCAGCAGTAGCTGAGCAGGGCCTCTGAACATGCTATTCCCTGGGCCTCGAATGCTCGGCGCCTAGGTCAACATGTGGTTGGCCCCATTCAGACTCGGCTGAATCGTCGTCTCCCCAGTGAGGCCTTCCCTGACCATCCTATCTAAAGTTGCCCCCATCCTAGTCACCCTCTGTCACAGCTCCTTGTTTTTCTTAATAGCACTTACTGCTCTGAAATTACCATGTTAATTATCTGTCTCCCTCATTAGGATGTAAACTCTAAGAGAGCAGGGCCATATCTGCCTGTTCAGTGTGGATGTTCATCATAGCAGGCGCTCAGGAAATGATGGATGGATGGATGGGTAGGCAGATGAGTAGATGGATGGGTGGATGGATGGGTGGGTGGACAGATGGATGAGCCCCAAATTGCCTCTAGGTTTATGGCTTCTTAGCCCAGAAGGGAATCCACTGTGATAATAGTAGAAAAAAAGATCTATCAACAGTCACAATATTAAACAGCCCACTAGCTGCAGGGTTTGTTAACACATCATAGAATCCTGCGTGTGAAATTAGAAAGATTAAAAGGAACAGGAGGCTGCTGAGTCAACAAAGTCAACAAATTCAAGTTTGTTCCCTCAGCATTAGCTGTCCTAGAGGGGTCAAGGGAGAACCCCTGGTCTTGCCGTCAGCAGAATTTTCAATGAGGTTGCACGTTGCAATTGATTGTAGTTACCTAGTTTCCATATGAAAGAACACTTACAGTTCAGCCAAATGACGACAGCATCTGGGGGGAAAAAATTCTTTATTTCACTCTTTCTACAGCCCCTCATAGCTAGGGAACAAATACCATCAATTCTGAGATTTGCGAGGCAAATCCAAACCCTTCATTGGTTGCCTGTAGTTTGGATCAGTGGAGAATTCCATCTGTCAGGGCATTTGCTGCATCATAACAGTTGTTGAATTTTCTTCAGGCAACAGATGAAGAACTCTGTCTACCGAAGCCGGCAGTCCCTGAACAGCCCGAGCCCTGGGGAAACTGAGATGGACCTTCTGGTGACTCGGGAGCGACCCCGGCGTGGGATCCGTAACAGCGGATACGATGTAAGTCTCTGGTGGGCTGGGGTGAATGCAAGCTTTGCTTTCCCCTGAACGCAAAGGGAGTAGAGCATCCCATAATGTTTCAGTTTACTATATATTTGTAGAATTTTAAAATGCACTAAGATGTTTTCTATTTTTTATTATCTACTCTGCAAAGTGTAAGACTACTTGGAATGTGTCAGAGTAACAAATTATTGCTAAAAGGATCACGATTTCTAAATTGTACCATTTTATGAATAGTACATTATTGACCTTAAACTCCATGGAGATTGTAAATGTCCTTAATTTTTTTCCCCTCTGTCCTTAGAAACTCACTAGGAACCATGGCCGTGGGTTAGAATTCATTTGAACATGGGCTTCTTTTAATCCATAGCAATGTTGAAAAGTTGGATTTGTTCCTGATTTCGTAACTCCTCAATATGCCATGGAAACAATGAGATGTCCAACAGAGCGATTTGATGATTTCATGTGACAAAGCACATGCTTATGTTCAGTGATGTGTCCAACCTGCAAAAATTCTTCTAATCCCATGAGACTTCCCCAGATGATGAGCTGCAATCTGGTGCCTCCTATCAAGTTGTATATATCCTGTGACTTGTACTTGCACCCATGAGCTCAGGTGAATGACACTATGCTGAGATTTTCAATAATGCGTCACCCTGCCCCAGAATTTCAAATGGTCTTCAGTATACTCCTAGGTTTGTGAAAACTGTTTCCTTTCCATTCCCCTAAAATGTTTCTTAAATGACAAATAAATCTGTGACAAGGGTTATAATTCAAAGATAGCTGGATAAACTTTTGTTATAATTTGAAAAGCTGTAGTTTGAAAATTACACTTGATTTCTTAAATATATCATGCTAATATGAAAGGAAGAATAGTTTTTGCTCTCAGGATCAGTCATTGTTTGCCACAAAAGCTTAAAATGGGTTTTTAATGGTCCAATTAAAAACAGAGATATTCTACCTAATTTGAATTTCTAATTATCTGCCTTACATGGAAGTTTGATGTTGGTGTTGGCAGTGATGCCCTTATCTTTTGTTTCTTTTTCCTTTTTCATAAATCAGTTTGGTAGTTATTTTTATAAAATCCCAAATGCTTTGGGCAAATCTTTTATTTTTCTGCTAGGTTAAATTATCCAATGTTAATTTTTCTGCTTATAAAAAATATTTCTTACACCAAATTCATTCATCGATCAATTTGATAATCAACCGGTGATTAAAAATTGGGCATTTGAAGATTCCAAATAATCCCTCCCCATCAACAGTGAACATTCTTCTTAGAGCCTTGTTTAGCGTGGAGAACTTTTTCTTTTGTTCAGGCACTTGAGATATGATAAGATTCTTAATTTATTTCAAGACTGGTATTAATAGGTTTCCTGTGAGATTCTACGCAAAGACACTTCTGCAGTTGTGAGGAAATGGGACAGAGATTTCCCTATTTATCTTAAAAAGAACATTGCAGATTTATTTTTAACTGCAGTGACACGACTTGCAGTGCTCAATACCTGTGGAGTGTTGTGCTAGTACATTGCCCAGAGCAAGAGAAGGAGAGAGAGAACGTTTAAAAGGGGATTTCTCACTCCTCGGAGACGTGTAAATATTCCAAGTACAGATTACTTCAGAGGAGGCCTGCTTCATCCTAGTAGATTTCTTTAACATAGTCATTTCTTTGAAAAGTGCATGTGATCTCAATAACATATGTATAAGCTTCCTTAAGAGAAAATGATCATCTAAGGAACAATTTTAAGAATGTAGACTGTTAACTGAAAGAATGAAATTGCCCATAACTCCTCTTACACTTTTTATAACAATCATATGAGAAGTAGCTAACATTTATGCTGCAAACTACAGACCAAGCTCTATTCTAGACTTTTTATATGTATTATCTAATTAAATTTGCATGGTTGCCTGTCAGCTAGATGCTCTCATTACACCCATTGTATGGATGTGGAAACTGAGGCACAGAGCACTTATGTATAATAATTTGTCTGCCCAGCTCCAGAGCCCATCCCCTGACCACCATGCAGTATGGCTTCTGTATTCATCCCTATATTACATAATCTATGTCCTTTATTTCTGAGCCTCTGGAAGAGGGTAGATGTCAGGGCCCACAAAGATTCTTACACGGATCACTCACCACAAGCAAAAACCAGACCAGCAAATAAAGTAGGAAAAAAAAAAAGTAAGTCAGCATTTTAAACAAACGCATTTGTTTTCTGAGCTCTTGATTTTCCAGAAATGCCTGGGTACTCCTGGCAAAACAATCCACTAGCCCAGCAGTGAGCCAGTCATTCGGTTGGAAACATGTCATTCTTCCCACTGGGTCTGGAGATCTTGAAGCCAAGCCAAAATATCCGGTCCCTTCTGCCAGGTTAGGGAAGCTTGACACGGTAGGAACAAAAGCACTAGGAGATTGATTTAATTTTGAATTTTTCAGAAGTTGACTAGAGTCCCAAAGGAAAAGCCTGCATGAAAAAATAAATGAATAAACACAGAAGTAAGCCAACCAACACGTGCTACACAGGCAATGTTAGCGCCAGGACTGATGCCAGTCTGGATTGTTTCAAAATTTTCCCATAGAGAAATAGGTATTAGAGCCTACAGAAGAGAGACTTTGCTCCAAGGGGTTTGGTATCACTGTGTTTTGTAGCAACAATTCTCAACCTCTTGGTCACCCTACCAGCTAAGGGATGCAGTATACTCGCGGCAGTAACTTGGCAGTAATTGTCTAGGAGGATACACCCTTGTTAGAAAGTGCATTATCTTCTTTCCTTCCTTCCTTCCTTCTCTCCCTCCCTCCCCTCTCCCTCCTTCTCTCTCACTCTGTCACCCAGGCTGGAGTGCAGTCGTGTGATCATATCTCTCTGTAACCTTGAATTCCTGAGCTCAAGTGATCCTCTCACCCCCTGCTTGATCACTCCTGAAAGGCCAGATTGGTATTGAAATTCATTCCTCTCAATGCATAAACCAAAACAGGTAGCAAAGAAAATATCAGCCTAAAATGTAAAAGCAAAAGTATCTCTATTTCAAAGTATGTTGAAAATGCCATTTTCTGAACAAAAGTCATGTAGAAAATAATGAGGCAGTGAGCAAAAGAAAAGAAAATTTTGCAAATTTGATTCTTAAGCAGAATAGAGACCTAAGTGATTTTTCCTTTATCGGCCTAAATTATTCACTCTGGTATGTGAATAGCAATCAGCCCTTGCTTCCAAAGGGCAAAGTTATAATCAAATCATTCCTCAGAAATGAAAATGCACCTGCAACCTTGATCTGTTTTAGAAGTTTAAAAATTGGTGACAGGAATGGGGTCAGCTACGTGCCTTGGCTGCCTTGGACTGTTTGAATGATAACTTTGAAAATGAATATGATATTTCAGAGGTAGAGACCTTTACAAGCTACTTCCCTCACGTTTCTCTCCGGCACCTTGTGTAAAGTTCCTCATGCTGGAGGTGCGTGGTGAGCATTCCTTCCAGTCCGATGGGCTCAGACCCTAAAAACGTGGGCAGTGGGTTTGAAAATAGGAAGAAGGATGGTCGATCCACTGATGCATCTCAGAAGAGGCACTGACAGTCCTCAGCTCTCATCCCAGAGGCATTCTTCAGGGAAATGTTTTGAAATGTCATTGGAAACCAGATGATTTTATAACTGAAAAGTTATATGTAAATTTACAAAAGGGGAGTATCAGTCAAGGTCCTACTACAGAAAAGAGAAAACATCAAGCTGTTTTAAACAGACAAAAAAATGACTATGAGGAATTAGGTGCTCACAAAATCATCCGAGGGCTGGAGGAGCGTTCCAGGAAAGATTCCTAGAACCAAACCGCAGGGCTGGTCTCATCCACAGCTTCAGCCTCACAGAAAGCCCGGACATGTAAGTTAGCCGTTCAGCCTCCACGTCACAGGAACGCACACTGCAGAGATTGCTGTGTGCCTGTCCACCGTCTACACCACAGGTACCGGGTAAAAGCAAGATGAGAGGAGAATTACCAGGCAGAGCCATACTCAGGAGGCATTTGGGGCAACTAGTGGAGAAAAGTCTACAGCAAAGGGGGAAACGGACCCATCTCCCAGAACACAGACCCCAGTAGCCTGCGCAAGGCCTTGGTGCACGGTATTGTGTGTAAGGGGATGTTTCTCTGGCCTCCTGGCTGACAATGTAGCCAGCTCCCTTTGTTTCAGGTGAGCAATGATTATGGAAAGGAGACCAAGGAATTGAAACTGTTGTTTTGATGGGTTCTACTTGCAGGGGAATGAAATATGATCTGGAAATTTCCTGACTGCCTGCAATAGCTTACAGCAAGTCTGGGGCCTTCTAGGTAAATTTGTAATCCTATTATTAGCGGAAATATCTCCTGCCCACCCACCACTCCCACCCCTGCCCCAGCATCTCACAGCTTTGGCTTAATAGTCAGAGACCAAAGCAAAGCCCAGGAATGTCCTGGTGCTGCGTGGTAGAGCAGTTCCAGTTAAGGGTATGACCAGCTCTTGCCTTCACTGGGAAGCAGTTGGTTGGATTTGGGGATTTTGTCCTTTATTCTGGAACCTGCTTGTTGCCCTTGAATTAGGTGTTCTTGGGTTGACCCCATGACCATCACCATGTTAGCATCCCACCTAGAACTTAGACTCCATTGTCCCCCACCTCAGGCTTAATTTATTTCTCCCATCTCTGCACTGTAATAACCCCGGTTTGATATGTTATCTCAAGTTACTTTACAGGGCATTGTATTTTAACAGGGGCTTCTCATCCAAGGGAAATGTCTGATAATGGGAAATCAGAGTTCTCTCCTTGGGAGAACCTGAGGCAAAGAGGTGGAAGTGTTTGGTGGTGAAGGGGGCCTTTAGGTGAAGTCCAGATCTCGCCAGGCACTGGGCAGGAGACAGCCTCCCTCTGCTAGGAGTGCTCAGTGCTGTCCGCCTGCTCGTTCTCTCTGGTCCCCTGTGCTCTGGACCTTGCCTGTTCCTACTCTTGGTACCTGCCAAGGCATCGCTGTTCCACCACCAACT